AGGGGTCCTTGGCGGTCTGTGAGCTGGCTTGTTTTCTTGCAGACGTTTCATTACCCAGCTAGGTAACATCATCAGTGATAGAAGGGAGTCGGGTTTGGGAGGGGGAGGAGGAGGATTGTAGATCTCTGAGCTCGGTTGTTTTCTTGCAGATGTTTCATTACTCGTCTGTCAACTCATAAAACATTTTGTATACACGTTTTATAGTTGTCAACAGAAAGAAGTGTGGGGTAGTTTCAAAGAACAGGCGGCAGTGTGGAATCGAAAGTACATTCCACTCATATTTTCTTCAAAGACCGATTAGATGACTGAAGCTTCTGCTGTGCAAAAGTCTAATTGGAGAGCATGATTGATGACTCTTGGCTATGGACGTGTTTTTTCATTGGATGATACACCCAAAGGGGTGGGGGGGGAAGCAGGATCAAGCGTGTCCGTCGATGGCTGCTTTGTCAGAGTGCCAGGCTTCTAGGAAATTCCCTGGCATTTTTGGACTTGGCCTGGTTTAGGATGGTCACATTTTGAACTGAAAATGAACTGAAACTATGGTTACTACACACAATATTATATTATGTTATGTTATGTTATGTTATGTTATGTTATGTTATGTTATGTTATGTTATGTTATATATATATATCAAATCAAATCAAATCAAATCAAATCATAGTTTCAGTTGGGAAAATGTGACCATCCTAAACCAGGCCAAGTCCAAAAATGCCAAGGAATTTATCTCTTTTATGTTTTTCAGCAATTTTTCCAGGTTCTTGTTCCAGCCATGCACGCATATATGCTGCACTCAGAGAAGAAAAGATTGTTATGGATTTATGAAACATCAGAGGTGCCAAGAAATACTTATGAGTTTTGATTTCCATGCAAATTCAAATAAACTTCTCCTTCCCACCCCTGCAGATAAAGAGCTGGGCTCTTACAAAAGACGTTGCTACGTTATTAAATTTGGAATTCATCATCTGATTAAGGCACCCTTTCAAGAAAAAGTGAATAAATATTTCCGATATTTGTTTTATTTTAGAAGAACCCTCTATTTTTAGGGACAAGAGTGGAAAACAGATGTCGGGGAGGGCAGAGATGGTGAAAAGTTGTTTTTTTTTTCTTATTGATACAAAGCCCCCACATTTGAGGTAGGTGGGGGGGAGACCCAGAAATGCTGATTGGAAGGGCCAGGCCGGAAATGAAAAGAGGGAAGTGAAATAAGCGATAGGAAATGAAAAGGAATAGAAGTAAGAAGTAAGTGCCAACCGTAGAATAGGCACAGAGCTTTCAAAGATTTTGTTCCAGGATGCTCCGAACATCACCAAAGTCCTGTCTGCTCAGAGTTTTGCAGAAGGAGGAAAGGTAAGTTTCAAATAAACTTGCTAAAGCATCCCGTCGCATTTCTCTCACTTTGCCTCCCCCACAAAAA